ACAATGTTATCTCTGGAGTCCAAGCTGGACCAATGTAAGTATCTATAAAATTATATATCTGGAGTTCAGCTTTAAATACTAGAGTACCCTAGGTTTTGAGATTCCCAGCGTGCCCCAAAAAGTGCAGAAGCTACCTGGAACTAGATCGGAGTAGCAGTTTAGTCACTTTACCACCAACCACAGGCGCACACTAAAAAGTATTAGCTGACACTTTTAGATTATTTTATATTCTTTAACTGCCTCTCGGCCGGCCGTTGTGCTTACACGGCCGGCCTGGAGCTTCTTGGATGTAACAGGCCGTGGATTTATATTTCCCGTGTGGGAAAGACGCAACATTTAAAAACAGGCAGCGATGCCCGTTAACATACAAGCAATCCGCCGGCTATAGAGCCGGCGGATCGCTTGTATAATCTGCCGGCCCGTGCCCCCCTCCGCGGGCCCTCCTCCCGTTGCCACGCTGGTCCCGGGCTCTGCTGTACCTGGTGCGAGCCCGGGACCAGCATAGTGCCTCTCTGACAGGGGATCAGAGGGAGATCGGTACACGAGCTCCCTCTGGGCCCCTCTCCGGTGTCAGAATGCAGAAGTGATGTATATTACATCACTTCCGCATTCTCGTGTCACTCTCCAGCTTCGGACGCTGGAGAGAAGCTGATGAAGCAGATATGTGCTTCATCAGCTTCTTCAGGGGTCCTAGGTGACATTAAGGGGTCTTGGAGACCACTAATGTCTCCATAAAGAGGACCTGTCACTTATTTTGCTATCACATAAGGGGGTTTCTTAGCCCCGTATCTGATAGCAGAGCCCCGTATCTGGAAAAAAAAAATGTAAGTTTCCAAAAACAAAAGTTAGACATAAAAAAGAATTTAAAAAAACAAAAAAATGTTTTAAAGTCCTCACCCTTACATACACGCAAACATGCGTCAGGTGCGCATACCTGCGAAAATGACGATTGCGCCCATTACGCCGCACATGTTACATATCACCGCGAACGTCGCAGTGAGAGCAATAAATTTTAGGGCCATCAATCACTGATAACACTAAACTGATGAGCGGTAAAAGCTTTTAAAGCGTCGCCTATGGTCAATTTTGGGTATGGTAGTTTTTTTGCCATTTCGCAGGCGCACTCAATTTTTAAGCTTGACATGTTTGGTGTCTATTTACCCGACTTGACCCTGTCTTTAATATTTTACCAAAATAATTAGGTAATAATTGTTTCCTAACAATGTAAAAAAAACTTTTTTCCCCAAAATTTTCAGTAATTTTACCTAAATATAGCGAAAAAATAAAAAACTTGCAGTGATGATTAAATACCACCAAAAGAAAGCTCTATCTGTCCCCAAAAATGGTATAAAATTCATTTCAGTACAGCGTTGCATGACGGAATAAATGTCAGTCAAAGTACCGCAGCGCTGAATACTGAAAAATGGCCTGGCCAGGAAGGGGGTGTAAACACCTGGTCTTCAAGTGGTTAAATGAATATCCAAAATATGATTTATATTATACATGATCTAGACCCTCCATTCTTCAGCTGCTCCTATGAATGCAGCCTAGGACATACTGTAGGTCCAAAAAAATTACAGAATATGGGTTTGAATTGGTATAATATTGGCTCCATCTACAGTGATGTGAAAAATGCCCAATTTATACCACTCTCATTGCCTTTTACAAAAAACAGTTGCATCCCATAGTCTTCACCCATCCCTTCATGGGAAGCAATTTAAATGTAAAAATTGTACAATTAAATCATGGATTTTCATTTGACATTCTTTTTACATTTTCCCAAATGAGGGTCTAGTTTGATTGTGCATTGTGCGAAAATTGTCCTTAAATTGCACACGTTTTGCCAAAGTGGCATTGAATATAGAAAATTGAGCTTCATGAGATTCCATCCCCCGCTGTGCTATGAACTCTGTTCCATAATCACTGTTTGAGGTTACCTGAAAGGGTCTGTGCACAATCTTCTGTTCTATCACTTCAGAACCCAAAAAAAGCTTTATGGACTTTGTAAAGGTTCATTTTTAGAAGAAGCTCAAACATGAGAGTTTAGTAAAACAGAGATCAGCAGCAGCATAGGCTTTACATCCCAGGGACAAATACTCAAATCTGCAAAGTGTATCTGAAGCTGAAACTTTTATTTTGAGTTTTGAATAGTCAGGTAGGGTTTGCAATCCTGTCAGGTTTTATAATTGTCTGTGCCCCTGCTGGAGAGATTGGCCCTCTCAATTTGTTGTAGAAACCATTGACACCGGGTCCAAAAGTGAGAGAAAATCCCAAATGTTAACTTCTCGTGGGAACAGGGGGTAGATCCTCCAGTGGGGATACTTGCAGTGACACCAGTCTAACAGGCAGACACACATTTTCAAGGGAATGTATAATCTTTGATACATTTTTTAATTGTAAAGAAGATCAATTTGATGTAAATAACATAGTATGTAAGGTTGAATAAAGACCAAGGTCCAATCCAATCCAGTTCAAGGTCATCAATGTGTAGTAATATTTATAACAGAAACCTTGTTCCTATGTGTAATTTATATATGGCCAACGGGGCAAGCCATATTACTCAATACACACTCAGGCTCTGCTTTCTGTGCTATTCTGCTCTCTCTCACAATGCATGTCTATGAGTCAGCCAGCCTATTGAAAACCATGCACCTCCTATGTGCAGGACCGGATTTACACTGCCTGCCGCCCCAAGGCCAGTTCCCGCAATGCGAGCATGCTAAAGGAGATGGTCGGAGACTGTGGACGTACTAAGCAGCTGGTCAGAGACTGTGAACATGCCACAGGAGATGGTCAGAGACTGTGCACATACTAAAGCAGGGATCCCAACCTGAAAGCAATTTCAGGTGATGGAGAACTTCAGGTCCCCCTCTGCTGATTGACAGCAGCAGTGGGCGGGTGCAATAGCTAGTTTGCTATTGGATATTGCAATTTGAAATAGGAATCTAGCTATGCATTCCTATGCTGGGTTTTTTTTTTTTTTTTTTTTTCTAACTGACGGCGGCCCCGATGTCAGAAAAAAAACAAAGCAGGGAAAGGTTTACTCTGCTCAATCGAGCAGAGTAAACCTCTCCGGGAGTAAGTGTTTTTCACCCGGGCGGCCGGGAGCCGCTAATAGTGGGAGACTCCCGGAGCGTCCGGGAGAGTTGGGATGTCTGCTAAAGGAGAAGGTCAGAGACTGTGGACATACTAAAGGAGAAGGTCAGAGACTGTGGACATGCTAAAGTAAATGGTCAGAGATTGTGGACATGCTTCAGTAGATGGGCAAAAACAGTGGACATGCTAAAGGAGATGGTCAGAGATTGTGGACATATTACAGCAAATGGACCATGACTGCAGACATGGAGGAGTGGTTGGAGACTGGGGACATGCTGTTGGAGACGGTCAGATTGGGAACATGTTCCATGGGACTGTTGGAGATAACAACCATTGCGTCCCTTTTGCAAATCAAAGCTTTTACTTCTGTAGAAGCATTGATTTGTAGGAGTACAGTTAATGACTACCTTCTTTACAAATGATATTCCTTGCAGCAGGACCTATTATAGAAGGTAAAAGATCAGAGAAAAGAAAATACATAAAAAAGGACAAAACAGAAAAAGTAGGAAAGTTTGAAAGAAATGTATCCAAGCATTTAACTAGAAAAAGCAAATATAATGGGGGGAATTTATCAAAACTGGATCAGACAGAAACTGGAGCAGTTGCCTACGGCAACCAATCAGCATCTCTCTTTAGTTTGCTCAGTTGAGATTTGAAAATGTGACAGAGAAGCTGATTGGCTGCAGTGCAAATCTGCTCCAGTAAATTCCCCCCAGTATCTTTCCTTCACTTATGTTCTAGTGATGGCAGTGCGGTATGGTGCAGTAGTTCTGTCGGTGCAGGTATTGCGCAGGGCCGTCTTTAACGTGGGTCAAAACAGGCAGTTGCCCTGTGCCCAGTCATTGTTGTGGGGCCCAAAGAAGCTGCCCCTTGTGCCTGCAAAATATACACATGCTGCACTGTTCCTGCCATATGGGCATATGTTTATGGGGGGGGGTCCAAGAAAATGTTTGCCCTGGGTCCAATCAACATTTAAGACAGCACTGGTACTGCGTTATGGTGCAGTAGTTCTGGCAGTGCAGGTATTGCGGTATTGGGTCAGCAGTGCAGGTACGCAGTATGGTATAGTAGTTCTGGCATTGCAGGTATTGTGGTATGGTACAGTAGTTCTGGCATTGCAGGTACTGCAGTATGGCGCACTAATTCTGGCAGAGCAGGTACTACGGTATGGTACAGTAGTTCTGGCAGCGCAGGTAATGCGGTACGGTACAGTAGTTATGGCAGCGCAGGTAATGCGGTACGGTACAGTAGTTCTGGCAGCACAGGTAATGCGGTACGGTACAGTAGTTATGGCAGTGCAGGTATTGCGGTACGGCACAGTAGCTATGGCAGTGCAGGTATTGCGGTATGGTACAGTAGTTCTGGCAGCGCAGGTAATGCGGTACGGCACAGTAGCTATGGCAGTGCAGGTATTGTGGTATGGTATAGTAGTTCTGGCAGTGCAGGTACAGTGGTATGAGGCACTAATTCTGGCAGAGCAGGTACTGCGGTATGGTACAGTAGTTCTGGCAGTGCAGGTACAGTGGTATGAGGCAGTAGTTCTGGCAGTGCAGGTACTGCAGTGGTTCTGGCAGTGCAGGTACAGTACTACCAACCAGCAATTACCTAATGATCTCATTAGTGCAGGACCCTCAACCCATCTATGGCCACCCTTATACTGCATGTACAGGAAGCATGTCAAACATATGTTGCAGGTTCTGTCACATTGCTCTCTCTGTAAAAGTAATTTCACAAACACCTGGCGATGTCTACGACGGCAATCCTGATCCCACCAGACTCCCAACCCTGTGCACCGTTCTTACCGAGCTGGGGCTTGAATGTCGTCTGACCTTGGGAGACTCCTTCCCCACGGACGCGCTCCTAAAGTTAATGCATGCATTGTTTTCTGAGTGCACCCTCTTCACCTGGTTTGCTGCTTTTTCGAAGGGGTCGAAGCTGCTCTGAGTCCTCTGAACACGCACTTTCTTGTCCTCAGGGATGGTGTCCAAATGTTTGATCACCGAGTCCATTCCCTGGCAGTTGCGTGTAGACATCTTCGTGACACATATCTGTGAGGGGGAAGAGGAGTAAAGAGCAGGATGATTACCACAAAGCGAGTGAACAATAAACACACGTACGTCTTATCCCAGAGGGTACAGGGCTCCATGTGAACATGCCCCTTTCAGGGATTGAGGACTCGACAATGGCTCGAGTAATCAATCCCTTTCCACTGAAACATAAGATGCTTTTATCCACCTGTAGTAACCCAAACATGAAAACACCAATACAAACTCTACATACTAGTGCGCGACTCCTCTGCAGACCTTCAAGTACCACGCTGAACTATTCTGAATGAATTCCACCTTCAGTCAAATATATTTAAAGGGTTAGTCCTCCCAAGAAAGAGTTTTCAGGGGTTTTTTTTATAAATGAAAAAGGAGTTCAAGTAGAACTGAAGCCAGAACTAGTTAACTTTTAGGTTTGGAAAAAGAGTAAGGGAAGGTTATAACTAGAGGTGCACCTACATGGAAATTTCAAAACCGAAACTAAACCAAAATAAAAAAATTGTCAGGCCGAAACCGAAAATGTTAATAATTTTTTCATTTTCTTTTCATATTTATTTTTATTAAATATTTTGATGTTTTACTTTTAGGGACTTTGGGGAAATATCGGGGGTCTAAACAGACCCCTGATATTTCCCTTTTAAAATAGATAGAGATAGGGGACGCAGAGTCCTCAATCTCTTTTTCTGCAGCCCATTATAAATAAACAGGAATCCTCTATACTGAGTGTTCCTGATCATTCATAACATGAGAACAGAGTGTGTTTACTATAACCACAATCACGAATGAACAGGAGGTGATGTAGATCACTTCCCATTCATTCTTAATTGTGGATATAGTAAACATACCATGTCCTCAATTATCTGCAAACACTCAGCGATCACTGACTGCTTGTACCCGCTCTTCGGCAGGAGAGACGCCGGCCACTCGCAGCGCTCTCCTGCCGCAGCGCTCGGCCGCCTGTGACACTTTCTCACCTCCCCGCTAGGACACAGAGCAGCGCCCAGCGGGGAGTAAAGAAAGCAGGGATGTGCGGCTGTATAGGCAGAAAAATGGCACTTTCGGCATTTAGCTCAAGGTGCCATTTTCGCCCCAACATGTTTTGGCGGCCGATATATCGGTGCATTGCTAGTTATAACCCTGGTCAGCTTTTTTGACATCTGTATCGCATTGGGGGAATTTCCCTCAACTTCCTGTCTGATGGGCACAACTGAAAGTAAGGAAATCCCTCCAAGGTGAGGGAAATCCCTGGTCGTCAGCAGGGTTACCAGAACTAGTGTCCCCATTGGAAGAGTGAGACGAAATCCCTCTAAAGTAAGAGAAATTCATGGTGGTCAACGGGCCACCACAACTAGTGTCCCTAGTGGAAGATCCCCATCTCTTTATGTTCTGACAACCCACAATTTGGGATTTTCTTTCAAGGTCACCAGGACAATTAGAGGGGGTGAATCTCCATAACGGTCAAAGTTTGTTTATATCTGTTGAGAAATCTGTTGGCGAGATCCCAGCTCTCCATACCCACTGTGCCCATCATGAGAGCCCCCCGCCCACCTTTCATTTTAAAATTTAGAAAATACAAAGCTGGCTACAAAAGGGATTGCATTTCTGCCATTTTCTGCTAAATTGGTCAAAATTTGACCCTGCCGGTGTTGGTTATGTATTTAGATGAAGCACTGAGATCTTGAGGAATGCTGAATTAAGTTTTACTTGCTTAGCAGAATATACAGGAATACAGCATCAAACATACAGTATAGATCATACACAAACATGCATATAGAAAACCAGGCCTGCACCACAGCACCATCTAGTGCCCAAAAGACAATATTACATCAGCATAAGCTGTTGTATTTCCAACAGCCGGTACCACTTTGCTTCATGAAAGCGGATAATTAATTTGACTTTGTCGATGGAGCCGGGGAGATGACTCCATCTACAGTTGGATGGGGCAATAGAGTGACTTTTCTTGTTCAATAAACACACGTACGTCTTATCGCAGAGGGTACAGGACTCTCTGTGAACATGACCAAAAAGTGCAAAGTGGACCGGAATTATGATAGGACAGGTGTGGGCAAACTCCAACCCTCCAGCTGTTGTGGAACTACAAATCATGAGGCAATGCAAGATTCTCACAGCCACGGGCATGACTCCCAGAGACAGATGCATGAGGGGATTTGTAGTTTCACCACAGCTGGAGGGCCTGAGTTTGCCCACCCATGTGGTAGGGCGATCTCTCTGCTGGAGGATCTTCGATATTTACTCATTTATTACAGGCATTTATACAGCGCCAACAAGTTGCGGTTTACATTTATATCAGTCCTTGCACAGATAGACACAAATACTAGGGCCACCAATTCATCTACCACCATAAATACTAGGGCCACCAATTCATCTACCACCATGTCACTGGAGTGTGGGATAAAAACAAGAGGAAATCCACACAAGCACAGGGAGGACATGCAGACGGTGTCGTGCCCAGGACTCAAACTGAAGTCTACCATGCTCAAGCTGCAACTTATATACCGCCTTTGGGTGAACTGCTCCTTTAAATGGACAAAACCAATATATATATTGGTTTTGTCCTTTTGTCCATTTAAAGGAGCAGTTCCACCAAAGGCGGTATATAAGTTGCAGCTTGAGCATGGTAGACAGTCCCTGGCTTCTAATAGGGACAGCACAGTGGCTCAGTGATTTGCACTTGCAGCACTGGCGAGATATATATATATATAAATTTGAGTACCGATCCTTATTTGATCATTTCCTGCAGATAATGTAATAGAACATGCCAGTGTGCTCAATGAAGGTGAGGGAGTCTGCCTAATATAAAGCACCCAACCAGTCGTAGCACTGGGCCCTGACGTTGTGCCACTGGGGGGAGCACGGAAACGAAGAAGAGGGCCTGGCTCTGGTAATCGCCAACATTTGCCTCCTGGGACTACACACATGCACTACTTCAGTAACCTCTGAGGTGCCGACATTTTTTGATGGGGTGGGGCTACACTGTTTTTTGCACCGGGACCCTGAGGTTTCTAGTTGTACCTCTGAGCCATAGTTAGGGATGCACCTATACCGTTTTTTCCAGTATCGAGTACCAATATTTATCTTTTGGTGCCCGCCGATACCAAATACCGGTACTTCCAGGAGCATGGAGCCGGCTTGGCCGGCTCAATGCTGATTGGCTGGGAAGCCGGCTACCCGGGCAATCAGGAACCCGGGCGAGCGGGTCATTACCTGCTGCTAGGAAGTTTTGGTATCGGGGAAGGCATCGAAGCATTTGGGCGAGTACTCGCCCAAGTACTCGATATCGGCACCCATACTAGTATCGGTAACTGTGCATCCCTGGTCGAAGTGCTATCAGGAAGCCCTGTATGGGCTAAGCACAGGTTCACGCTAAGGCAGCTGTGCAATTAGATACTAGACACCCAGATGAAGTACATATAAGGGAGCCGTTTTACCTGCCAAAAGGATTTTTATTCTGTCTGCCCAGTCTTGGGATTTACAGAACCCCATCACACAGCACAGGCAGATGACACCCCTTGAGTTGTTACGCTCACAGACAGGGGCGTAACTAGGAATCACAGGGCCCCATAGCAAAATCTTGTATGGGGCCCCGTGATTTCTAGATAAGTCCACCTGATAACCCAAACTGCCCACCTGAGGGTGACCCAGCAGAGCCCACCACAGACTCTCTATGGAGGGCTCTGCAGGGTCTCGGGTGTTGCTGTGAGGAGGTACATGTGAATGGCTGCGTGTTTCTCCTCACAGCCACCAGTGACAGCCAGCAGCCTGAAATGCCATAGCGACCCAGGCGGCCCGCACGGCATCAGGGGATGTCCTGGCCTGGCCCCCCTGTGCCCCATAGCGGCCAACTGGGTCGCTATGGTGATTGTTACGCCACTGCTCACAGACAGCATAGGGAACCCAGTCATGTACCCTCTCCACCCCCAGCCTACTGACTAGGAGAGTGATGAGCTAACCTCTGCTCACTCTGATGTCCCCCTCTATCAGCATGTTCCTTGTCAGCGCATTTGCACGCAGCACATGTTACTGGCTCCCATTCCTGCCTGTAAAGGTGATTGCAAAAAAGCGGATAAAAAGTCAAATTCAGATACTTGTTGCATTTAAAAAACACATTAATGATTAATGAATGAATACAGAGCAGTGTTCCTTTGCTGTTCTAACATTTCTTTTAACCAACGTTCTGAAAAGCAATGGCAGATAACAGGAAGTGGTGTCTCCAGGCATAATCCCTAGTGGGTGACAGCGACAATGCTGTCCCCGGGGTCACGATGGAAGCGTATGAATCGCCTGCGTAGGGACAAAACAAAGACAAGACGGGCGGGGTCATACAAGATCAGAGATCTGCCTGCGTTTGTAACGCTTGTCATGCAAATTATGCCGAAGCCGCCGTTTTATTTATGCAAATAGACAGTGAAAGAGTAATTCTCTATTCTATGGGGAAAAAGTAAACAATTCTTAAAGCAGAACCAGGTAGCAGAAAATAACAATGATTAGCCCATCAAAAGATAAAAATAACAAAACCAGTCTTTGCTGCAAAATTCATCTTCACTCTAGAAATCTTCCCGCAGTACTTTGTTCTGCCACTAGATGTCCTCGGTCTGGTGGCCAGCATCATTCAACCCACTTCTTCTGAGCCCTGGACCCATCCCAGCCTGTAATTGGACAGTGATGAGCTCATCTCTCTGTCACTCTGCTTTCTCTTCCTATTAGCATGCTTCTTGTCAGCACGACATGATTAGCTACTTGTTCTGCATCTTCCTCTCACACTCCAGCTCTGCTGTATAGAGACTGCAAAGAGGCTGATATCAGGTCATATTCAGGTACTTACACTGCCTGAATTAAAAAATAAATGTAACGATGTGTTGTTATTATTACAGAGCTGCATTAATATGTGTCTTTTACATCTGCCTGGAGTTTAGTTTTTAAAGTGTACCTGTGTTTACTCCAGAGCTGCTAAAGCAAAGGCAAGCAGTTATGGTCACAAAGCA